ATGGCCACAGCTGGTCACCCCTGCAGCCCGTGGTGGCCTCTGCTTAAGGCCTGTTAGTCCGCCCCGACTCTTCCAAGGGACGGTTCCCTGCAAGCTCTCTTCCTCTCATAGATGTGCAATAAAGCAGTTTCCATTGCGGGAGAGAAATAAGCATCTCAGATCTTCTCCTGTGAAGCCCTTTGCTTCTTGTGAAAAATCACAGTTCCCTCTAGCAAACTAGATGGCAAGTTTGTAGCCTGATCTTGATTATAACCATAGTACCCAGACAACCAGATCAGGATTTAGCCAGGAAGTGCTGTAAACTTTGTGTTCCCACAGCCTAGGGAGTGGACTACTCGCATTTCTGCCCCCCACCCTTTGCTGCCTCTGTATCAGAGGTAGTAGTGGGGAGAAGCCGGTTTAAAAGCTGGTTTTCCCCCCAGCACTCTCTCCACAGTGCTGCCCATCCTGCCCTTTGCAGTGGGGAGGGGCGGCTGCTGCTGCTGCTGCAAAGCAACCCCTGTCAGCAGGTCAGTCCTGGCCACGGACCTGGTGTAGGACCAAACCCCACTGCAGCTCTGCAATTTAAAATGCAATAATAGCCAGGGGGCTCCTACTGCCTTTTAAATTGCGGAGCCACTGCGGGGTTTGGTCCTGCACTTGGCATGAGTTGGGACTGAGCCGGGTGCCAGGAGTCAGGACTGAGCAGGCTGCCTATCAACTAATCAAGTAGCTGATAGAATTTTTATCGACTACTCAATTAGTTCAATACCCGCCTCTTAACATCCCTAGTACAATGCGATCTCTGCATAGAAGCACTTACAAGCTCAAGTTTACCTTGAATAAGGGTTTGGAGGCCTGGACTCTTTACATGTATACTGATGGTGCGATTCAGGTGATATGGGAATGAACTGAACTCAGGAAGCACAAGACAAAATTAGAATGATTTTTTTTTAATTTTTTGTTTTCTTCCCCCTCCTGTTCCCCAGTATTGTCACTTTGCTTTGTCTTCTCATGGCCAGTTGGATGAAACCGAATATAATCCTCCTACTTCTATGCTCTTACACCATTTCACCTGATCTGTGTCAACACAGCAGCACATGAGGCATAGAACTAGCACAAATCTTTCTCAAAATAGTCAAGGCATGTTTTATCAAAGGCCTTTATAAAATAAAGGGGCACCAGCAACTTAGAAGTCACGCTTGAGTTTACCAATTGATATAAATGCCCAATATTACTGTAACAGAGAAGTTACTCTTCCATTTTGTTTGCTTTAGGCCTGTGGTGCCCAATAGGCCAGCCACTAAGCCACATGTGGCTATTTGGCCAGTTGAGTGTGGCCAGTTTGCTATAGCAAAACTGGTTGGACACCACAGCTTTAGACAAGAATGCTTTCATTAGTCAATTTCATTGTATTCAATTTCCCCCATTAGTGTGGGTTTCAAACAGAAGATATTACATGCATCACCTTTCTTGGCTTTGATCATCTGCGCATAGAGTACTATCGGAAAGCTTTCTGTCATGTTGAAGACTCTTCTGAGCTTTACTTGCCTTTGTAGAAGATGTTACACTTATGACCTATTACAAGAATTGTTCTGGTCTGAAATCTATGATGTTTGGCTCCTAAGGGTAAGAATTCAGCTGGGTGCATAGGGAGCTCTCTACAGAGCTGTCTACTGGCATAACTAATAGAACTTCAGGAGATCAACATGCTACCCAGACACGGTTCTGAGTTCCAGTGTCTAATTATTCCATAAAGCCACAAATGTACTATGTGTGCAGTTAGGTGGTACATTAAAATAAATTGTTAAATGCAAATTTGTATAATTTAAATAAATTGCAGGATGCATCATGAGCAAATCCAACATAAGTGACTCAATCCAACCCTCAATCTAAATGAAAAAGTCACACCAATTAAACCAAATTGATTTACAAACCAGTTTAGTTAAATAGTGCAACATCTTTGTGTAGACTGGGCGTAATGTTCTTCTGGTATGATGGAATTGAGTCATTTGTCACTCTCCATTTTGACCATGAGTTGTTCTCAGAGGAGAAAGCAATGCCAGGGTTGATATACGTTATAATCCCTTTGTCACAAGATTGTAATTGAAATAGTCAACAAGAAATAGACTTGAAGAATCCTATTCAGCTCGCTTAAATGCAGGTTGTTCAAACATCTTTTAAGATTCTTCCTCCTTCTCAGTGTGATACTCGGGTACATCTAGACTGCGAGAGTCTATCGAAAAAAGATACGCAAGATGTGCTCCGCGTTTTGCGTATCTTTTTCCGATACTTTTGTCGGAAGAGACTTTTCCGAAATTTGGCCCATCCAGACTGGGCCACATTTTGGGAAAAAAAACCTTTTGAAAGCCCCCTTCTTCCTTGTGGAACAGCGCATTTGCTCTTCTACTCTGGTATTCTGAACACCACTCTACCCCCCCCCCCCCTGCAGTCTGGCTGTCCCCTCGTTTCTCTGGCTGGAGAGAGGCTGTTCACAGTCATGATGGATGGCAGAACAAGGACCAATGGTCCCAAGTTACAGTGGGGGAGGTCTACGTTGGCTATTAGGAAAAATTGTTTCACTAGGAGGGTGGTGAAGCACTGGAATGGGTTACCTAGGGAGGTGGTGGAATCTCCATCCCTAGAGGTTTTTAAGTCTCGGCTTGACAAAGCCCTGGCTGGGTTGATTGAGTTGGGATTGGTCTGGCTTTGGGCAGGGGGCTGGACTTGATGACCTCCTGAGGTCTCTTCCAGCTCTGTTTCTAGGGGGAGAGGCCAGGGCTGGGTCATTTTCAGAGATGAGCTGTAAATACAGACTAGTGTGATCACTCAAGCAGAATAGCCTAGTCACTTAGATAACCAGAAATGCAAAGATAACATCAGATTTCTCCAGAGTCAGTGGCTGCTGTCTGCTGTTCCACTGATGAGCCAACATGGGTTTTGTGGGTGACATCACAGGCAAAGAACCGTGCTGGGGAGCTCCACTTGGAAGAGATCACTTGTTGACTGAATTGTCAATTCATACTGTTCAAGAGGCCAGCTCTATAAAGGCTATATCTGTCCTGTAAGTTTATGCAGGTTTTTACACTGCTTGCTCAGAAACCATGAACATCTCCTGTTGTTCAGCTCCAGAACTGGCCTGCTGGTGGCTGGAACTGGGTGTAGCGAAGTGCAGATGTGTGTGGTTCTGCACAGTGCCGAGAGGTGCACCATGAATGTAAACAACTCCAGTTTTTTAAGTCTAAATTAGTTTTGTGCCTGTGTCTGAGTCCTTCTCAGCTTCAGTGACTTCAAAACCATGTTTCTGTATTTTTAATTCCCCCCTACACCCTCCCTTGCTGTCTAGGGATGTGAAAGTGTAACCGTGTACACAGTTAACTGATGAACCTGGGCTCATTGGTGAACCTTCAGTTACACGCAGGCTCCTGGTACACACCAGGTGCCAGCTTTAAAAAATGGCTCCCCATGCGTACTGGCTCCTGGGGAAGCTGCCTGTCCTCCTCCCTCCCCCGCTACCTGCATGGCAGAGATAGCAGCGCAGGGGAGAACTAATGCACATAGGGAGCCTCCTGCTGCCCCACACTGCTGCCTCTGTATCAGAGGCAGCAGGGGGGGGGGGGGGGGGGCGCACCCCCTCCCCTGCGTGTAACCATGTAATCGCTGGAATTTTCCATGGTTATACGGTTACTTAATTAAATGCATTTTAGCATCCCTGCTAAAAACACAAATAGGAAACATTGACTGTAATGAAACCGCATTGTGAAAGCACATTCTGTCTAAAGCTAAGGTTCTCAAACTGTGGTTGGAGAGGTGAGAGTGGTGTGTGCTTTTTATTTAAGGCCTCTGGCTGTTAGCACTGGGTGGCTGGCACTCATGCAGAAGGGTGGGGATAAAGGAGGCAGCTGTAGGACCTTCCCTCCCCCCTCCCCCCCCCACCTTTGCTCAGGCTTTCCTTCCTTCCAATCTCTTACCTGGGCATGGCGGGTGAAGCAGCAAGGCGGAAGTAAAGGTGGCAGTGGGGCACTATACTAAGGGCACGTCTTTGCTTGCCAGGAGATCAGCACTGCTGCACTCAATGCAGTGCGTGTTGAGTTAGCGGGTCTGGGGAAGAAATGCTGAATCAATGGGAGCCTTCTCCCGAGAAGCATAAGGGAAATGGACAGAGACATTCTCCTGTCGACACAGTGCGATAAGTGGCTCTAATGACGTCAGCCTAGTGAGTCTGGTGAGAAATGAAATTGGCAAAGTCAGATTTGTCTGTCTAACTTTTGTGCCTGGCCAGCGGCGGCCGCGCTCTGCTCTGCTCTTCTACATGTACTTGTGGGGAGTGATGTGTAAACAGACACTAAGAAAGGTGGGGGGCAGTCAAATGTGTTTGAAAACCACAGGGCTAAAGCAAACAAAATGGAGCTATAACTTTTCTCTTTTCTTTAGCAATACTGGATGTTTGTATCAACAGGTGAAGTCAGAAATGTGACTTTCTAAATTGGTGGTGCCTCTATTTTTTATTAAACCTTTTGATACAACTCTAATCACTTGTATGCACTCCAAAAATCAACGGCCAGACTATTTCAAATGCACACATGCACGTTGGTCTAACATAAAAAGCAATTGTGACAATTTGTCTAACTTTTGCCTGCTTAGGAGTTTAGCGTGGAAAGTAGAAAAGTAGATTAAGTTATTTTTAGTAAAGACTGTAATAAATGTGCAAGAGCACCAGACAGACTAAATCAATCCAGATAGAAAAGACCATGTTGATGGGGAGCTAACCCCTCTGTGGCTTCCCGGCTTATCGGCTAGTCAATGGAATATAGTTGATTAAACTATATTTAACATCCCTAGTTACTGTTTTACTTTTCAAATGCTTTCCCTAGTTTTTCTTTTCTTTATCTTTAATAAAATGTTAATGTTTTAATGGTATTTGGCATGGTACTAAGCACATCTTGTTTAATACTGTTTATTGATGAACAATGACTGGGTTATGTTACCATCTTTGCCCCATTTATTCTGTCTAGATGGAGACAACAGGGTATCAAAAGAGCCATCTTAAAGTGATGGGCAAACCTTACTTTAACAAAACATTGATTGCAAAATTTCTCTGGGAGAGATGGTAATGCAGCTAGAAAGGGAATTTCAAGAAAAATAAACAAGGAGAAGTATGTGTAGTTTTGAAATGTACCTGCCTTTCCTTACAAATCACCAAGCCTTTGTAAACTCTTTTCTTCAGCTTCACAAATAAAGAATTTGATGAGCCAGCTTGGAACCAAACAGGATTCCAGCAAATTGCAGGAAAACCTGTAAGTATTAACTGAACAAACACACAAATGTGCATTTGGCTGTTGGAAAGGGACTGGGTCTCCTTTGGCTAGTCAGCAGTATCCTGAGGAAAAACTCTGAATGGTGGGGGTAGAGGTGGCAGTAGCGTATGTGTGGTTTGACAGGGCATAAACATGACTTCAGTTCTCCCAAAAAGGCTAATTTGGTGGAGGAAGGGAATTTGGGAGCTACACAGGGCTCAAAAGCCATTCATAGCTGCTTGGTACAGACACTGTCACGTGGCTCAAAAACTGATGGAAGGGCCACTCTTGTACACGCCCCCAATATCCGCGCACATACCCCCTCCATGGGCACTTCAGTTGAAGGGAGGCTAGCAGTCTAGAAGGATGCCCATGGAATGATGAGATTAAGAAACCTGCCCATGAGGCATTGTGAACCCTTCCCAAAGCAGACAGTTGCACAATAGAATAGCTAATCTTTGTGTTGATAATGCAAGAGCAAATAGTGAGATTGTGCTCTGCTGACACAAGGAGCAGTGTGGATGTGCAACAGCGGTTTAAGGAAAGCCGCATAACTTTTGTTGACACAACTTTGTAGTGTAGACATGTCCTAAGCGACTGCTACAGGTGTACACAAGCATATGAACAATTGAAGCATGTAAGCGGTAGAGAAATAACTTAGGAGTAATAAGAGGAAATGATTAAAAGAAAAATCAAATGAAAACCCAGTAAAGCTTCCCAAGTATTAGGCTTCCTGATGATGGAATGAGCTCCCAAAGGAAATGGAAGAAGCTCAGTTGCTCTGGACATGAAAATGTGAGTTGATCAAATATTAGAACATGTGTAGTGAAGAATTCTGCATTTACACTCAGAGGCAATCTAAAGGACCATCAGATCACATGGTACAGAGTCTGTGAAAGGGAATATCCAATTATTTGCATTAGGTTTGCTCCAGTGCAAAGAAATCTCTAGGGTAAGGAATGTCAGAACTTGTCCCCTCAGGGGGAATTTGTCGTGGCGAATACTATCGAAAATGCCTAGTAACTAGAGTTGATCAGAAAACTTCCATTAGAATGATTTTCCAAAGCATTATGCTTTCTCTGTTTCCCAAAAATTTTGGTGGGAAAATTTTAGTTAACTTGAGTAATTTGTTTTCCCTTGGGGAAAATCTAAAAGCCCCCTGGCTGCCTGCCTGAAAGGCTGTAGTCAGTTTCAATTTCTGCCTATAGGCAAAAAGCTTTCCAGCTAGCAAGCCAAAAACTTCTGGTTTGGTTCTCCCCGAGAGAATTTTCTGGAGATCCCTTTCCATGAACAATCTGTAGGTTTTGACTTTCTCTTCTGGGGACCAAAAATGTGTTAGATGAAATCTGTCATAGAATCATAGAATTCTAGGACTGGAAAGGACCTCAAGAGGTCATCAAGTCCAGTCCCCTGCCGTCACGGCAGGACCAAGTACTGTCTAGGCCATCCCTTATATACATTTGTCTAACCTACTCTTAAATATTTCCAACGATGGAGATTCCACAACCTCCCTGGGCAATTTATTCCAGTGTTTAACTACCCTGACAGTTAGGAACTTTTGCTTAACATCCAACCTCAACCTCCCTTGCTGCAGTTTTAGCCCGTTGCTGCTTGTTCTATCTTCAGAGGCCAAGATGAACAAGTTTTCTCCCTCCCACAGGATGGGATTTCCATTTTCCAGCCAGCTGTGCTAATTATAAGGTCCCTGTTTGTAAAAAGGAGCCCCTTCTCTTCCTGTTGTCTCAGGATGACAAAATAAATGAAGGATGCCATGTAGAACAGAGGCCTGGGTGGATGTTCGTAACATTCCGTATTGTGGAAGAAAACAAGCCTTCACTCTGCATTGTGTTTAAGCAACAAGTAGCCAGAGGCAGTTTTATTATGAGCTGCAGCAAGGGAAAAACTGGTTCGGATGGGGGCCTCTGATCTTCGAATACAAGCAATTATGAAGCAGTTTATATACTGTCTATTAGATATAATAACAATAGCAATTAGTCTCCTTCCCATTACAAACACCAATGGCTAACAGTTATTTAGTTCCACCCAGATGCTCCTTATCTCAAGGTCCCTACCAGAGTCAGCATTCTATCCTTATCTCCGTATGGAATATAGAGGCAAAGGCAGCGTCTAATTACAGATCTCGCGTTGTCAGGCCACAGACTTAGCCTGACTCTTGCTCTCTTGTTAACAAGACCAAGATGGCTGCACACAAATTCCCTTATTCCCTTTTCCTGCCTTCACAGAATGGAGTACAGAACATTCTAAACTAGTTCAGAATGTAAGCAGGACACTGTTGCTAATGTTTGAGTGCATCTATTAGATTGCAGTTGATTAGTTCTGGATTTAATGGCTGGATTAAAGAACTAATCGGTGACAGTCTAATGAATCTCGCTTCCAGTTAATGTATTTCCGTTATAGAAGAGCCCTTAGCTTTCACTTAAAGGGATTATTGGTGCTTAACAAACAGCAGTTTGTGGGGTGACACTTCAAGTGTAATTGTACAAAAATGCAGAGAAGTCCTTGTCAACACAACCATCAAGTTAACTTTTCATGTGCCACTGAAGTTTACCTAGTGTGGGCTAGAATATGCAATGAGGCAACACAATTCTACAAAGCCCGACTGCTTAGCTGTGTACATCATTTGGATATGTTTGACAGCTTTCTTCTTGGTGTCTTATGGAATGCAATGAACTGTCCCCTTCCTTCCTTCTCCCATCTATGCTCTGACCCACCACTATGTTCTGTGTGCATGTGGCAAGAGAGTGAAACTTGTAGGAAGCTTAATCCATGCAACATTAGCACTCTTGAAAGGAATTTGTGCATTAACCAAGCGCTCCTTCCTAGGGCAGAGAACACTATAAATTACAGCAAGGTGTCTGGAAACATTGCAGTGGAAGTTTAATGTGGATCATATGGGAAGGCTAGTGCTGTGTAGTTTCCACTGGTGAACTGTCTGGCCATTCTAAAGCAGAGCTGTGTTTGTGCAGCTGAGGACTTTCCATAGGTTATGGTTGGCAATCTATTATAGAGGAGCCTGACTGCTTATAGCAAAGCATTCTGGGAGCATGCTTACTTGTTGGGACAATAGAAACGTGTCTTGTGAATCTCTGGTATGCCTGATCTAACCACTCAATGAAGAGCCAATTTTCTTTTCTTCCGCACCAGTGACTGCCATGGCTTAACTCTGTCACTGTAGGATAGGCATGGTACTCGTTGTTCATCCAAATGAAAGCAAAACCACTAAGCAAAAATTGGAAACCAAAGCAAGTGGGACCCAATCAGTGTTTAAAGAATTATACTTCTGTCTACAAATATTTTCCCTGGATGGCTAGTGGAAAGATTTGCATGAGCAGCTGTTGTGTGCACTTGATTGTTTCATTCTTCCTGTTTCTTGGTGTACACTGTTTCCCCAGTTTTTTGTGTCCCTTACAGCAATAAGGAGGAAAGAAACATCTTTAAGTGAATGCTGAGCCACAAGAGTTGGGAGGGGATCTAGAGCAGATGTATACAACCATAAATGCTATCTTTAATCTAGTAGATTCTGTCTCCTATAAGTAATATGCCTGCAAAAATGTGCAAACTACAGCTACGAATGCATCCTGACACAAAAGCTAGAAGTCAGTTCATGCAATCATTCTCTGCTCTGCAATGTTTATAATGCCTGCAACTCCTTACTCAGGAGTCCTTGGGGCTTGTCAAGTAAAGACTGTTCTAGTTATTTGATTCTGATACTTAATAAGCTTCTGCAGACCCTTAAGAAGTTTTTCTTCTTGGCCTGGGAACTCCTAATATTGTTTAATGCCATAAGTGCAGATGGCACTTCCTTGGATAACCTGATAATGGCAAACTAAGGTCTGCAATCATTAGGATTGTCTTAAAGTGACACTTAAAAATGCATGATTTTGGAACCTTATGTGATTGATGACAGCTGTTTGGAGACTATATTTACAACTTAATTCAGAGGAAACTGCTTACACTTGTATTGTTTATTTTAGACAACAGTTACAGCATTCTGCAAACCGGCTCGCCAAGGAGACCAACGAATATCTAAAGGAGCTGGGATCTCTGCCACTTCCCTTATCTGCTTCTGAACAGGTTTGTGGGAATGAAGCTTTAGTGGAAATGGGGGAAAATAAATCCTAATATTTTCTTAAGAAAGAGAAACAGTAACTTGTCATTCTAGGACAAGTAGGAACTAGCAAATCTAAAGAGAACAGGACTGTGTACAACACTTTTCAGTGGTGAATGAACAAGGGAGTCCTCCATGCCCACCTCGCTTGTGTTGGTAGACCACAAAATTGGACTTTCCAGCATGCTCTCTGTGCTGAGACTTGATCCCAAAAGAGGTGGTGTTCCAATCCGGGTCTGTGACCATTCTGTCATGGTGATGGGGGCAGGCTTCTTGACATAGTGGAAACTAGGAAGGTTTTTTAAGTGGGCCTTTAGTCCATTGGTAATCCTGATCAGCGGCTGTTTCGTGGGTTGACCATGGGTGAATGATCCTGGAACCTCTGGGTTCTGATTCTGGCTCTGCAGTTGAGAGCTTGCCTGCAGTGGATGTTACTGCGCAGCCAGGCAGGGTGAGACTCGGCAGCGACCAGATTGCCGCACTGCTATCCTGCATGGACGCCGCTGCGGTGCAGTGGAACTTTCCCAGTGCCCTCGTCGTGGGCCACCACTTCAAATAGCAATTTGTGGAAGGGCACTGCAGCAGTGTCCACATGGGGGATTCGCATGCCGCAAGCTGGTTCTCTGCTGAGTCATGCCCTGGCTGGCTCTGCAGCAACATCCAGATCTTCTTTGTGGCCTCAGGAAGCTGCTTAATTTTCCCAGCTGTAAATGGGTATAAAGCCTGTCTTACCTGCCTCCACCCATGGGGGAGATGGTCATTTTTACCAGTGACTTCTGGTGATGAGTTTGCAAAGCAGGTTTGAGCTCTGAGATGAATGTGGCAAAGGTGGTTAATTCACCAAAAGGAAGAGAACTGGAGAGGTTCATTTGGGGTTGGGGAAAAAAATAACTGAAAAACTGGAGATAGAAAGATTCTATATAGGACAGCTTATATTAGAAGAAAAAACCCAGCAAACTTGCTGCAGGAAAGTAGCTCTGGGTTCATGAACATCCTCTCAAAGATATCTCATGTGCATCCTAAATGCACAGTAGTCCCTCACACAGTAGTGAAGGGTCCCATTCTAGATCTTCCTTACCAATAGGAAAGCTAGGGAATTTATGTAGAATACCCTTTGAAAAACTGTCTGGTTCCCAATGAAAATGTATTCTGATTCTTCAGCTCTTGCAAATACCTAGCTCTTTCATATGTGGAGGAGTCAGCTGTTCATCAAAAGGGATTGTAATCTGAGAAGACAATTTACACTTCCACATCCCTGAAGTGTTAGACTTAAATGGCTGGTTGTTGCAGCCACGTGCAGTGTCTATGTAAAGGGACATTTGGGTCTGTACTGGGTTCGTGAGAGTTAATTCTCATGGCAAGAAATGCAAGCATGGTTTCTTTGCAAAGGATTAATGCCTCTGCCTGAGAAACATCCCTGTGCTGCTGCACTCAGGCTTGCTAACTCAGTAAAATGATGGCTCCGTGTCTAATGATTCCAAAGCGTAAATGAGCCAGGTAGCTGTGGGCTGCTCGACCTCTTCTCTTAAAATATGAAAATGAATGAATTTCCCTGGGGAGAAGCAGTGTCGTGTCTGCTGATCCCACACTTCCGCCTCCCCATACAGGAGATATTACTAGAACAGGGGTTCTTCAAAGTCTGTTGTGTGGACGACCATGTCTTGAGCCTCCCTCCCTGTGTGTATCCTAGTACAGACCACTTCTCAGTCTCACTGAGCAAACGAACATCCCAGCAGTCGTGTGCGTGGCTCTCCTTGTGCTTTCCTTCTGCCATCCCGTTGCACTTTAGTAAACTGGGTGACCAGCCAACTTTTTGCAGATCACCAGGAGGTGTTCCACCGACCATTGGTTTGCCAACCCTGCATGGAAACTTTCCCTAGCCTTCTGGATTCTGCAGACTGTAGAAATCCATGGATGCTGGTTCTGTAGCAAGCGGACATGTCCAAAGGAAATGGAAGGCTTCTTCTAGCTCCTGATTTCTCCAGCTATTGCTGTGTAATGGCGCTATCCTTCACCCATGCTCCCTGGCCTTATGGAAATGCTCTAGCATTAACATACGTTTGGGCTGTGTGTTCAGAACGGTTTCTAAGGATCTTAAAAGTTGTTTGCTGGTAGCTGACTATGTGAAAAAGCTAAATTATAGGCCATGCAAAATTGTACTGAAGTCCTGCCTAGTGGAGCATTTGTTACCCAACATCAAGTCTCTTTCTAATTGTAATGTGCATTTGCCTTTCCATGGGCAGGTAGTGGGATGCGCTAGTTCTAATGAGGTTTCCTGCCCAAAGGCCTCCAGAACCTAACACAGGCAACAAAAGGTAACCCATCTCCATGGGAACAAAGGAGAAACGTCTGGAATAAACAAAATAGAAACTTGAAAGATGTACGCCCAGAGCGCTCTCCTGCTGACTTGGGTGGTAACAGAGGCCGTTTTGAGCCTGTCCTGAAGGGTGGCACTCGTGTGCTGAGACACGTCCATGGGAAGGGCGCCGGGTGAAGGGAAATCTTGTCAGCTCTCCTCTGCAGAGTGCTGCTATGGGCTGATCGACAGTGGGTGTGGCCTCAACCTGGTTCGGTTTTTAAAGGCTTAAATACCAGTTGTAATTATGCCTATGTCTGTATCCCAGTGAGTCAACCTGCAGCTCCAGCTCCGTGAACAACACAGCTGGAGTCGACTCCCTTAAGTCGAGTTACCGCAGGACATCCTTGGGGAAGAGCCTCCCGTCAACTCCCCTTGCTCTTGTCTGGAGTCGAGTAACAGGGTGAAGGGAGAGCAATCTGCAGTTGATTTGGCAGGTCTTAGCCCCACTGTCATGTAATTGCAGCCTTAGACCATGGGTGGACAAAAGGGCCGGATCCAGCCTGCCAAGTGGGTTGATCCGGCCCATGGTGACCCTGCCACTTCCCTGCACCCAGGCCAATTAGAGCCTGGGGCTCCAGGGACGCGCATGAGGTTTCCTCCGCCCTGCCAGGAGTATGCGGCACTTTGAAGCGCCTGCACGCTCCTGGCGATGCCGGAAGAGACTTACGCGCTCCCAAGCCCTGATTGGCCTGGGGGCGGGAGGAGCACGCAAAGTGTCCTCCATGCTACCCCCGTCCTGTGAGGAGTGCACGGCACTTAGAAACGCCACGCGCTCCTGGCAGGACGGGAGGAGGCTTCGGGCCCAATTAGGGCCTAGGGGCAGCAGGAGTGTGCAAAGTTTCCTCCACCCTGCCCCTGCCCTGTGAAGAGAGCACGGCACTTAGAAGCACCAAGCGCTCCTGGCAGGGTGGGAGGAGGCTTCCCATGCTCCCCTGCTCCCAGGCCCTGATTGGCCTGGGATGGGGGAGCATGGGAAGTCTCCTCCCACTAACAGGGGCATGGGTGCCTAGGAGGAAAGGGGAGGGGGGGGGG